CCCCGACTTACACAGGACGCTGCTCTCCAAGCTGCCCAGCTGCATTCCTGGTTGTGCATGCTGTGGCTGCACGCGTGCATTCAGCATTTATCAGCGACATTATTGTCTACACTGGTCAAAAAAGGTGGTTGTTGACCATGTCAATTTTCCCTTTATCGGTGCTGATCTGATATGGACCAGTATATTGGCACACCTCTACTAAGAACTAATTGGAATGTGGAGAAAGCAGTTCTCTCTTATTAGGCCTCTAACTTTGAGGTGGAGGAGGAGAGTTTATGTTGCTGTTTTCATGCTGTACCACCTCTGTAGCTAAATATAATTCAGTTTTGTTTTTTGGGGGTTTTTTGTTTGGGGTGGGGTTGTTAATCTAATGATACCTTTTACCATATACCCTTTTTTAAAAGAAATATGCACCATCATGCTCCCACTTATCTCATCTTGACTAGGTTTGACCTCCTGGTATTACTGCCAGGACAAGCTATTGAGTAAGCGTCTCATAAGTCCTGGTGGCAGGCTTGATAGATCAGTTGTAGGGGTAACTGTAATTGTTCTAATATTGCTGTTTTTGTTTGCTTTGCAGGTTAGGCTGTTGAGATAAAGGGTGGTGGACATTCGTGACTGAATGGATTCTCTCCCACTGTGCAGCCATGCCCCCTCTTGATGTGCCTGCCAATGCCAGCACTTCCTTCATAAATTCGTACATCACACTCAAAACTGATGACATCACAGAATATGACCAAGGAGTCTGAACCAGCTGTTTCCATGGACACAATCTCCATAGTGACAGTGGGGAGGGGAGGGGAAAAAAGAGGAAACAGGTGGGGGGAATTAAAGAGGGAGGGATAAATATATATATATAAATATATATATATATAAAGATCTATTTTTTAGTCTTGAAAGACTTTGTTTTAAATGAAAGGTGCGCTATCCCTTTTTATGCTTTTGATTACATTGTGAAAACCCAGATAAATTCAAAATTTCTTCTAACTCCCAGGAAATGTTAAGTCCAAAATGTTCCTGAAGCTTCACATTTAGTTATTAAGGAAGTGGAGGTAGGAGCTCCCCTAACCAAATTAGTCTCCTTCCGCTCACCATCTCCCGACAGTTTCCAGAAGAAGAGTTCAAGGTTTAAGGAAAACAGCATCAAGACAAATTGTCTGAGGGGTGAGAGGAAGGACTGGATGGCTGCAGGCAATGGGATGCTGGTATCTGCGGGACAGAAGGTTATGACTTTTTTTTTTCTTTTCAAGAAACACTATTTATTTTTTATTAACAGTGGAAGCTTGAAGAATATCTGAAGACTCCTAGGTCATGTGACTTGTGAAGTAAGAGGTAGCTGCTGCTAGCTAAAGTACACACATACTTACACCTTCTTCATCTGGAAACATCTTCACCAAATGGTGGGATGGGAACTTCTGCCATCTCTGGCAATGATGTACGCCCCCAAATCATTCCAAGAAGCTGCCTTCTGTTTTGAAGATACTGGTTTGCCTGCCAAGTTGGGGAACTGCACAGGAAGTCTGAATGTTGGTGGAATCCATGTGTGTGTAAACTGTTCAGGAAACTCCAGTTAGCCCTTCTTCTTTGTTTTTGTTGTTTTTTGTTTTTTTTCAAAGGAAGGAAGGGGGAATGTCAGTTTAACAGCCTACACTCTATGGTTACTTTGTGGGGGTTTTGTAAATTGTGTAATTTTTAAACATTTGAGTTTTAAAAACAAACAAAAAAAATTTCTCTTGTTAAGGCCTTAAGAAAGGGGTTAGTGCATCTTTCAGGGGTCACTCTGCCATGGGAATAAAATAGCTGTTTCACAAACAGTTTTATATAAAAAAAAAAAAAAAAGCTTAAAAAAACAAAAAAACTAATAAACTTCATTTTAACCTTGTTTCCTTTTGCTTTGTGCAAACTTATTCTGCCCAAATGGAAGAGGAGACTCTAACTGCCACTTTATGCATTATTTACTTTATGATATCTTTCCTTCAGTGATGGGATTTTCTTAACAACCTCCTGAACAGGTCCAAGGCGTGGGACCCCAGAAAAGTTTCTATTTATAAAAACTTAAGATTTATATGGTGCAAGGGACAGTTAGCCAGGAGGGCCATTTGACTGGCTGAATTCACAGGTCACTTGCAGCAGTATTATTGCACATCATACCTGACTGTTCATCCCTAGGATGTTATCATGTTCTAGCAATTTCACACAGTGAGCTACTTGCTAGAAAGTATTTTTAGAGAAGGAACTAGCTAGTTTGACTTGAAATCTGGAACAAGGCTTGGATGGGGTACGAATGGAAAGCTTTTAAAAATGAAGTACTGAATGCCTGTTCTGCTGCTTGGATTTTTGGAGCATTCGGCACATAAACATGTAATGTATTCAGACCTGTATTTAAATTGAAAAAAAAAGATAATTTTTCAAACTCAGAGCTATTTATCAATGTTGTTTGTTTTCCTAGATATTGCTACCTCTCATACATATTTAAAAACAAAGGGTGTTCTTGCCATTCTTTGCTTGCTTCTTTCCCAGTAGCAGGTTCTGAAGTCAGATCGTCTTTCTATGCTAGAAAGTAGACCTGTAGTGACAATTTTTGTCACTAACATGTCCCTCTGAACTGGTGCTGAGAAATGTTTAATTGGTGGTGTAGTTGGAACAAATCATTGTCACTATAGTTGGCGTGATTAAGTTGATGATTTCTTTCATATTGAATAAGATTGGGTTCTTCTGTTATCTGATTTACTGTACATGGCCTGAAGCAATGAGATGCTTATTGGCATATGTCAATAATATTTGTAATGAATCTGCTGTGCTGTAGTAGACCAGCAGAGAACAACGTGATGAATCTCCTGGGACTGAGTCCTCTGCTTTTTATTTGACCAGGAGGGAAACGTTCTGTGATAGTTGGAAGGCTGGTGGGAGACCTGAAGGGATAGCATCCCAGGCAGCTGTTCCTGTGGCCTGTTCATGGCGACTGAGCTGGGGATTCTAGAGCTGCCCGTGTACTCGGTCGTCTTGGTTAAAGATGCTCAGGACTTAGATGTTAACCAGTTGTTTTCTTCTAATTACATTGGCAGTGCCCTTGTCTCCCCAGCTTTTACTTCTGGCATATTCTTGGTGTTTTTGGGTATTGTGCCTTGTAGTTGTGCGTGAGGATGGCAATTTTAGAGATTCCTTGGGTAAATAATTGCCTGCGAATGTTGGGGACTGGATTCTGTGGGCCAGGAGGCCCTTTGTAGTCATATGTTCATGTGTAAATAAATTATTGCAGTCATAACCCCATAACATATATTTCTCAGTCATCAGTTGGCCAAGTGTCAATGCTGTTTTCAGAGGGTTGAGTTTGCTAGGAGAGAAGTTGAAAGTTTAATAATTCTCATAATCAGTGAGGTATTCAAAGAACATGAAGCTATCCCAAAATCACTAATGGCAAGCCAGAAGGAATTAGAACAGCCACATGACTTATTGTGAAGGACTCGGATTGTCTTGCCACAGTTGGAAATAAAAATGCAACTGGATAAGAACATGCAAAGCGTCAAACATTTTGTACACGGGTTTCAAAATCTCTTCAACTCGTTGGGCCAGCACTGATGGAAGAACTGCCAATGCTGCTTGATGCTGAGGACCAAAGCTGTTTCAAAGAACTGGAAAGCTTTGGTCAATTTGGAACTTGTTTAGCAGAAATGAGCTGCAGCAAGGACTTACTGAATTGGAGAACTGCAGACTACTTTGAAGCCAGCAGCTTGGGTGAGGAAATAAGCCAAAGACCTTGGATAAGATACGTCCTCTAAAACACCTTGTAAAGGCCCAGAGAGGAGTGATCTAATGTCATCTTTCTGGGGGACACATTTCACTTTATGTAAACAGTATCCCAAATGAGTAGCTGGGAAGATGAACACGAAGGGAAGGGGAAGTGGGAAGGAGTTCTCTCAGTTAATTAGTAGATCATCTCTGGTGCTGCTGCATGTATTTCAAGAAAAAGGAGTTATCCTGATTTGTGAAAAGGCCTTGATACAAAGGACATCACTAAGCTGTCTAGGGCTCAGCTAAGTACTAAAAGAAGGAAAGAAAGAGTCCTATCTTCACCCAGTTCATGAAAATTGCTGGCACCAAACTGGGGGCGGGGGGGATCATTAGCAGAAATAAATAACCTTGCAGATTATTTGAATATCTCCCAGTTGAGTAACAGCAATGGGAGATTGATTATTAGATGCATAAAGGAGTACTTTAAACACAGCAATTCCATGCACTGTTTCAAGGATTTTGGTTATTAGACCATACGTATTAAATATTGGGGGAATAGATGTATAAAATCAAACCTCTAATTACTGTAGGAGAGGGATTTTGACTGGGAGCCACACATCTATCCAAAAATTGGGAGAGTTGGGTTTAAACATGGATCTCTAGAACTGGATCAAGAATTCTGGATCATGGAGGATGGATGAGTTCATTATTGGTCTGGATTTTCTTGTGGCTAATATTTGTGGAAGTGATGCCAGGAAAAATAGAAATACCATCTAGAAAATGCCTTCTGCAGGTGTGGCTCATACTTTGCAGGTGGTCAGTTTGTTTTAAAAAAAAAAAAAAAAAAGTTTTCCTTTTGTGAGGAGCTATAATAGTATCTCTGAGACTGTGTACAAGTCACAGGACCAATGGGGTGGAATTTGAGTTATTTCTTCTCAGTCCCAAGCAGAAAGTTTTCTGATCAGTGGCTTAATGTTTCTTTTTGTTTACTCCTTACTGTTTGTTCAAGAGAGAGAAGTGGGGGGTGGGAACCAAAGTGGCAACATGTGAACCAGCTAAATTAGCATGTTGGCATAGAGCAAAGATGATTTTCCAGAGTCTTTTACTAGAATTGGTGCAGTGCAATGCTGGATATTTTAGACACGGAGCAGCAAGAAGGTCTGAGGAACCTAAGGAACTGAGAGTTGCTTTACTCGCCCAATAGCAGGCTTGTCTACGCTATGGGCTGCAGAGCTGTGGAGGAAGAGCACCTTCATCTTCCCTGCAGCCAGCAGAGTTGTATCAGCAGCAGGGGTTTTACTAGCAGAGCTATGTCACCTAGAGGAGGATATGATCTTTTCACATCCTTGTCGTACATATGCTGGTGGAACTCAGATATAGAGAAGGCCAAAAATGAGAGGCATGGCACCTGGTATAGCTCAAGACAGACACTGTAGAGCCAACTCGTGAAGCAGAGACTTCACCAGTTGATTTCAAAGAGGTTTACAAGATTTTGTCAAAGTGTATCAGGAAGGCACAACTGAACCAGCCCTCACACCTCGCCTATCTTTCTGATTTAAGACGAAAGATGGGAGCATTGGATTTTATATGGACTGTGGGAAAACTAAACAGTGCAAATTGAATGCTTTTCAGTCACCCTGAATAAATGAGCTCCTGACTGAGGTAGTAATACCAAACTCAAAATATACTATATACCAGGCGATCTCAGAGCTTACAAAGGACATAAGTATCATTGTCCTTTTTTTACGAACAGGGAAACTGAAACAGAGAAGTGTTTTAAATCTATTTTCCTTGCTGGACCTTGAAACTAGCTGTTGGCAGGTGGAATTGGATCTGAAAAACTATATGACTGGCTTTGCAGCAGGGCAAGTGCTCTATGATTTAAAGTAATGGTTTCTGGCTGTAATGGCTTCTGTAATGTTACTTTATGAGGAGAGACTTACAGCAAGACCCTTTCCACCTGCGTCTCTGGATTAAATCCTAATGTGTGGCTAAAACCTCTGATCAGGAGCTGATACATTTACAAATGCATCAGAATAAGCTTAAGAGTGCCAGTTTGAAACCGGTCCCAAAGAACTGGGAGTTCCCTTACTTTGGGCACAGAATCAGTGAGCGCATTTCCACTGATAGAAAACTGACTCAGTACTGAACTGACCAACCCTCTGATGCTAATATTTGTACCATGTTCTTTTGGGGTCTGCTCCATCTATAGAAAGTTTGATTATCAGTTTGCCAAGGTAGCAAAAGAATGGCCTAAACTGTGAGGAAAAAGGAAACCATTTCCTTAATCCCTGGAGAAGGGAGGAGGGGGGTTACCACTGCAGCCTTTATCCTATCTGTGTTATAAACTCCATTTTTGATTAGATACAAAGGTTAGTAAAGGCTACACTGGCTCAAGAACTCAAAGGATTTGAAAGAGCATAGCTTATTCCAGCAAAAGTCTAAGCACTTCATGCTGATCATGGGATGGAGGGTCCCAGTAAACTTCTTGTGCTGTTTCAGAAAAGGAGCAAAGTCCAGATGATCCAAATTTCTATGTAGAAATTCTGCAGGCTATATGGACAAATTGAAGAAGGACATCACTGCAGTATGGATTATACAGGTAAGCTATGAGGGGGACATAAAGTAGGATCCAGTTGCATTGTGACAGCTCCTCACAAAAGAGGAGGCTGTACTCGGTTGTTGCCAATTTGATTACTTGTGCAAGGTGGTTTGCCACAGGCTGTGTCAATGGTGAAGGATGATATCCCAGTATCCTTTGCTTCCCTGACTTCCACCAGTGTAATGTAGGATAATTGCAGAAGAGCAGTGTGGAAATTCCGTAGGGGCATAGCCAGATATTTTCAATGGAGACCCAAGAATCGCTGGATATCTTTTTTTTTTTCTTCTTTCTTTCACTGAGAGAAACATTTCATTTGCAACCTGCAAAGTCATGTGCCAGCTTGAGGCCTTAACTTACTATTAACCAATTAATGCCAAATTGCTGATGGATCTCGCTTTCCACTGTGAGGTATGCAGTTTCCTGCAAATCCTTACCGGTATGAGTGAGCAGATGTAGTTCATAAGGCAGCAGGGCCAGCACCAAAGGGCAGAGTTGGATTGCTGTAGGTGTGGACAGAAGTAACAATTGAAACATTTAAAAAGTGGCAGATGATACGTCCAAAATGATACCTCTTTAAATCGGGTACTATTTTGAACCATTTCACTTTGTGTGCATTGGGAGAGAGGACCGAAAAATTCTCCAGAATCCTACCATGCTTTGTTCCCTGTCTCCATCCCGTTGACTCCACAGGGGAAGGAGCAAGAGTAGGCTAGACAGCCAGGCTGTCCAGCTGCTAACCTGTTCGGAGGGGCTGGTGGGGGAGTGGAGCCACATGTTGCTGCAGCCTCCTGTAGTGTCCCCTGGCTGGAGCATTCCCAGCTGCATGCAACTACAACAATTATTTTTAAAGCTTTCCAGACAGGGTTGTGACAGGCTATGCATATGTCTAGTGGCACAAGTACTTTCTTTTAAAAAATATTTCCAAGTTCATTAACCTTGGAAATATTTCAGTTGTTATTTCTGCCTGTACCCTTTGTTGCCCAGTACTTACTGCTTCTGTTCCACCTACCTGATGCCAGTGAAGTACCAGAAAACAAGGCTCTCTTAACAGTGACCAAGGATGGTGTGCTGTGGGCCCACTCCTGAAGGGTGACCACCAGCTCTGGGTGTGGGGAAAAATGTAGACCAGCGGGAAGCAGCCTGTGCCAAAAATGAGCAATGATCATCAGCAGACGAACTCTAGGGTAAAAAACGCCAGTTTTCTGGAAATTTGTGCAGACCTAGCCCCAAGCCTGTGGAGGCAGGCTAACCATCACTGTGAGAGCCTCTGCAAAGAAATGAGTGGCAATGGCTAGCTAGAAGGTGTCAGCCTGCCTTGTACCTCTCCATGGTGAAACAGTTTGGTATGGGCAAATCTACTGCTGGTGCTGCTGTGCATGTGTGCACAGCCATAAAAGAGGTATTAGACTTGGGTTTCCTATGGTCTGTGACACCTAAAAGGGTATCAGCGGCTTTGTGTGCTTGGGTTTCTCCAGCTGCATGGTGGACAATGGGTGGAACACATCTGGATTCCTCCACTCACCCTTGGCCTCAGAGTTCATTAATAGGGAGGGAGGGAGGCCAGCATACATGTGGTGGCCATATTGCATTCAATAGTTGCTTGCAACTTCTCTGATAATATACACTACTTAATGAAAAGTGCAATCTGCCTGAGTTTGTTCTCCCTTCAGTACACACACCACCCACCTACCACATGACTTGAAGGCTTTCACAGTTTCTCTACCTCTACTTGAATCTGAAAAAAGTAAAGGAGGAAACTTGGTTCATTGTCCCCGTGAAAAGTGAGAGGTGTCACTTCTACTATATGTATCAAACTACTGAATAACTGCTTAGTTATCTCCTAGTGAGGTGATTTATAAAGCAAACTGTATGCAATGTTTAATACCTCTTGACATGCCCTTTAATTTTTGAGGGGCAATATTTTTCAATTTTACCCCAGACCTTAGAATACTCTTAGAATTTAGCCGGGCTGCTCTGTGTGGGCTAATGAAAATATAACGTACAATGGCTATCTTGGATTTGAAAGGTGTCATGACCCAAAAGGCATGATTGCGTGTGTGTGCTTCGGCACCAGAATTATCCCCGTCAAGTTGCAGAGCATTGCACGGGAGAGTTTCCTGTAGCAGAGGAAACCCCGGTGCAGGGACCAGTTTCCCGCCTTTTCTGCAGCTTCTTTTGCAGAGTGCATTGCTCATGTTGCAAGAGGAATGCACGGTGCAAAAGAGTTCCCGCAACCGGTATGCAAATTTGTTCCCCGTGATTGGCTAGTGCTAAATTATTCACACGTGGCGGCTAATGATTGGCTTGTTAGCCATATAAGAGGCTTGAGCGGTTTCCGCCCAAGCCAAAGAGGACTCCACATCCATCTCGTGGGGACTCTGGGTACACGGCAGGGTAATAGAAACCCTGTGTGAGATCCAGAGGAGCGTGGCGGCCTGAT